CTCCCCTGATCTCTCTTTGTGCGCTCACTTCTGATCTAGACACCAATAACTTCTCTCTTTTTATCTCAGTGCTGTTTCTCTCACTTCATTCTTCTCTCTGGTAATAAGGTCCTAAAAAGATACATAAGATGATTCAATAACTGCCAACCACAGTCAACGCTGCTGTCTCTTCATGTCTGTTTTGTTCAGATCTGTGTGACGGCAGACACATAAATGTTTAGTCTATCTAACATAAACAAATAAAAGGAGAGTAGGGTAAAAGTGTAAGGGTGTAAGGCTACGGAAGAGGAATGGACTGGAATGGAATTCTGAGAAAAAAGTCAGAATTCTGACTTTTTCCTCAGAAATGGGATACTTTTGTATCAGTGACACTTTTTCTTTTTCTAGTGGGCCTAATCCTCTTCTGTAGTAAACCCTACACAATCTCGTTTCTGACTTTTTTATTTTCTATTATTAACTAATTGATACATTTCTAATATTGGTTGATCCTACCTGTAATAGTTATACACTGTTTCTTTTTTTAAAATTATCGTTGCTTTAGCTGTTTTTACTTTTTTGTGTTCTGTAACATACTTTGGAACTATGTTTAGAAAGTGCTTCATATTTTAAGTTTTACATGTATTATTAGTCCATCCCCAAAAACAGCAAAAGGTGGTGAAAAATAGAAAAAAGATCAAATACTGAAGAGCACAGTTGGGTTAAAGATTGAACTGTCAGAATCAGTATGAAATGTGTTTGTTTTTCTTTTTCTCAAGATGCAAAAACGTCAGTAGAAAAATTGCATTTTCTCTTGTCTATAAAATGATAGTTGTTGATAGCTTGAACAGCCTCTTGATGTCACCTCACAATCAATATGCTTGTAGGTTCACCTACTAGATGTAAAGCTCATGTGACAATTGATTGATTTTCACACAAGATCAAAACAATAAGAAGAGAAAGCTTCTATTTCTGTGTTCAGTCGTGGGTTTGATACGGTTTAGCTGACTCTGTCTAATGTTCCTTTCAAAAAAGCTGCGTCAGCAACGTCTCTGAATTGTTGTAACAACCAAAGATAAACACGAACCAGCCTTTTTATTGTTATACTTGTAGGCCAAAAAACATGATTTCATTGTACTTGTGCACTTCTGGGCTTTTAGTTCTACACCACAGCACTTGATTTCTGCCCAGAAGAGGAGCAGCATGTGCTCATTTAATCAAATAGCTCCCCTTGACTTTCCAAATATTATTGAATAGAACGGTTTAAGTAGATATGTCAGCATGACACATCTGCTTATCTGCAAGTTAAGCAGATGTGTCAAGAATACTGCATATCTGCAAGTATTCTTGAGCCATTGAATTAAACGATTTATGAGAAAATTGCTACATATAGCTTAACTCCATCCACATGGGTTTGACTTGACACTCAGATGACCAAACCAAGTACAAGCTTGTTCTTATAAAAGCTTCAAGAGTGCTGAAAGATCAAATAAGTAATTTATCCTCGTGTTTAGTCTGTGCTCTGTCGTGAAAACAACTATCCATCGTCCTGACCAACGCCAGATCCCTCACAAACAAAACGGAGGAGCTTCAATCAGAGATTTACTACAACCGTCCGGGAGTGTTGTCTACTGATCGTAACCGAATCCTGGCTCCATCCAAAAATCCCAGATGCTTCAGAGGAGGCACCGAACCGGTCCTACAGGCTCTGTGCTGCCCATTCATGGCTCTTCTATCTACCTCACAACCTAACATTAGCCACAGTTACCATTTACAGTTACAGTTACCATTGTTTACACCCCCC